CTGGAATACCTTCCCTGGGCGAGCTGTGGAATCTCTGCCATTTTAGAGGGAAAGTTAGCGGGCGTCTTAGGGGGCTGGCGCAGCGGGGGGTCGGAGGTGCTGGGGATGAGGCTGACCAAAGTGCCCCCCAGCTTGTATTTTGGACGCTGCCCTCTGACGCTCTCACCCGAAGGCCTCCGGCGAGGGAGTCTGAGAACTGTTCTGGACCAAACGCTGCGCTGGCAGAGCTCCTGGGCTCGACCTCAGGGCTCCCAGCCACACGTTTCCTTTTTCATCCTTTCTTTTAAAATAGCGCTTGTGGTAATAACAACATCTGCGGGGAGCCTGGCACGCTCTTGTGGGGTGGCCCACGTCTGCATAGTCAGGACGAGCTTTCCAACACCACCCAGCGTTGGGCACTCTCCACTCTTCCATTTCACATTTTTGGGGGTACTTCAGCACTCCAACTTTTTGAGTGAGTGTGTCCCACACCTTGAATGTGTATTTCTGTTGCGTAAGAATAAGCGGAGCGACAGCAGTACTTCACACAAACATATGTGTGGGAGTAGAGCACCCAACTCCGTGATGCTTCTTAATTGCGTACATACATAATGATGCAGAGTTTGGAGCGACTGATCTCTTCCCCAGTTATTGTGGTGGGAATCTTAAACCTTTATCTGAATTTTTGCCGGAGATTGTCTCTTACTTTGTTTAAACTGAATTCTTGGCTTTTCTTTTTTCCTAAAGCAACATTCCAGCTGAGAAGAGAGCAACCAGGGCTGGTGCTGCCCCGCGTTTTATTCCCTGGATAGACGTGCGGGTAGCGTGGCACGTGCGCAGAACCCTATTTCCCACTGCTGGCCCAAAAAAAAATTCCATACTGCTGTGCAAAGACTCCCATTAAGCTCAGTGGCAGAGGGAGGAAGAAACTCACTCCCTCACCGTATACTAAAAATAGGCTGATGCTGTGCAAACAGCTTTGCTGTGAACTTCCTTCTGGCACGCAGCCGTGCAGCTGCCTTAGAGATTTAAGCCTGGATACCTCTCCAAAACAAGAAGTCACCGAAGTTAAAGGCAGCCAGCAACGCTTTTCATCTTATTACTCCCTGCTGTGTTGCATCAATTTTAGCTTCTTGCAGAGTGCAGGTAGCTTACTGGGATCTAAGTTCCATTTTATTTTATTTTATTTCTTACTTAAAGCGTGGTTAAGACTGGCGCTGGCAATCCCTGAAGTCTGCAAAGTTCAAAGGAGGGAGGAGGCTTTAATCTCAAACTGAAATACTCGGGTGACCCGTCCAAAAAGGGCTTTCCTGCAGAGCAAGAACGGCAGTAGCTGGGCTGCAAAAGGTTTTTAAACTCTCCAAATTGCTGTTAACTAAACATCCTTAAATCCTGATGTGATGATATGAAATTGGAAAGTCAGTTCCTGAAGTGAGACTAGTTTAAGAAGAATAAACACAAGACACACGACCCTGCGGGCAGTTGGGCTGATTGACAGCAGTGATTCATTCAGGCCTTGAAGCCTATGAGTTATTTGGTTTTGCCATATTTTCCAGTGATTTTTACCTACTTATTAGCGCCAACATTTTGCCCTAAAATAAATCACGTCACATTCTCCTGTGTGTTTTGGCTATGAAGACCAATGTGGCAATTTCAGTATCAAGCTTCCTTGTTCTTTGGTTCAATGGTTGTTCGTTGTTTAGACATAACAAGATTCACATTTTCCTTTATCACAGTTTCTCATTTGTAGCAAGAATATTTTCCAAGACGGTAATTAAATCTCTGGACCGTTTTCAGCTATTTTGCAGGAATCGCTGCAAACGCAGTAATTTTGCATGACTGTTTTTCCCCTCCCGATTCTTTATCGTCGAATACCCAGCTTTTATTTGCACCCTCTGTATCCAATTATCAGATTTGTGCGGCAATTAAACAGAAGATCGGTGGCATCGGACTTCATGTTCTTTTTTAAACTCTCATCGCTAGCAGGACCACACTACTCTGTGAGTTTGTGATTTAAGATGCGGTTGGCGGGGGCTCAAAGAAGCAGGAGCGCTAGTCTGTCCCGCTTCCCCTTGGAAAGCCTTGCTGGTGCTGCCCAACAAGATTTACACCAGAAGGGAACTGAGTTTTGGAAAACTTTTCCAGACTCTGAGGAAACCAAACAACCTGAGACTCAGATAAGCCTCGGTGAATTTAAAAACTCTTGATGCTATCACTGCGTAAAACGCGTATTAGCCCATCAGATATCACAGATTTACAATTTGAGGAGTGGATCTCGGTTAATAGATAAAATTAAGAGCAGAAGTTTGGCCAAAAAAAAATGCTATTTGAAGCTAAATTCTCCTCTTGTCCTCTCTGTTGAGCACTTTATGATATCTTACGTTTCTGCAATTAGAGGTACAGGTGCTCTGTTCTGCAATTAACTGAACGTACGGTTTGCTAAATAGGGTCAGTGGCTGGAGCCAGAGAGGGTCACAATGCATCCAGCTGATTTCTTTTTCTGAGACCTTCATCTTTCTAGCTGTCTGGAGAGAGGGTTCGGATGAGGTCCTGTCTTCTCCCTTGCTACAGCGCCTGGCAGTCCTTTCGAGAAGAAAAGAGAGACCCCCTTCCCATCCCTGTGGGGTTTTTCGAGGACAGATTTCTGAAGGCACTTTCCACTGGGTCAGGCAGGACTCGGGGTGGGCGACAGGTAGTACGCAGGAATTCTAGCTCCCTGCTGCCCGGTTGTTTATCTTCAGACCCTATATATTCACTTCTTTCCCTTTTTTAAATACAAACTGAGTTCTAAAAGCAGTCTTCCACTGAACTGGGTTCTCCCCAGGCATCCCATCCAGCCTCGCACCCTTAACCCAAATCCAGATGCAGGGTCTGGTCAGGGGCCGCTGTTACTCCCAGAACAGCGTTCAATAGTTGAGGATCCGGATGATGATTTTGCCGGCTCGCACCACATGGCTCAAAAAGGTCTCGCGAAGGGAAAGGGAGTCCTGAAGTGCAGCTCCCCCCCGGGTCTGGCGTGTGCTTTCTCTCTGCTTCCCTTGCAATCTGCCCGGAGAAGATTTCTGCAGGGTCTGGTCAGGGGCCGCTGTTACTCCCAGAACAGCGTTCAATAGTTGAGGATCCGGATGATGATTTTGCCGGCTCGCACCACATGGCTCAAAAAGGTCTCGCGAAGGGAAAGGGAGTCCTGAAGTGCAGCTCCCCCCCGGGTCTGGCGTGTGCTTTCTCTCTGCTTCCCTTGCAATCTGCCCGGAGAAGATTTCCGAGATGCTTGAACGGCTGCCACGGTGGGGACCAGCCAGCCCAGCAAGCCTGGGCAGGTACAGCCTGCTATCAGCGCCTTATCTGATCGGGCTGCTGCCTCGTGGTCTCTCGACGGTCTTCCTCATTCTTCTTCCCTGCTGCTGAAACGGCCTTGCCACCTCCTCTTGCCTTCTCTCCAGTTTCTGTCCTCGTTTGTCCATGCTGGAATCGACAGGTTCCAGGGTGGGTTTTTTTATTTTTATTTTTTAAATGATCCTTGGATCTGGCTCACCTGTACAGACCATTCTTCTGAGACACACAACACAGCTGGTCGTCTACAGCTTGTGAGGAACGTTTCCTGGGGTTTGCGGACAGGTCCTGTGCTCAGGTGCCTGCTGGAAGCAGATGAACCTCTTCATTCCTCACAAAGCAACCAAGCAAGGGGGGGAAACCCCCCATCCCTCCCTCCCTCCCCCTCCCCTTCTCATGTTGAGAAGCTCAACATGAGCCGGCAATGTGCACTCGCAGCCCAGAAGGCCAACTGTATCCCGGGCTGCATCAAAAGAAACTTGGCCAGAGGGCAAGGGGGGGGATTCTGCCCCTCTGCTCTGCGCTGGTGAGACCCCACCTGGAATACTGCGTCCAGCTGTGGAGCCCCCAATATAAGAAGGACATGGAGCTGTTGGAGCGGGGCCAGAGGAGGCCCTGGAGATGCTGGGAGGGCTGGAGCCCCTCTGCTGGGAGGACAGGCTGGGAGAGTTGGGGGGGGTCAGCCTGGAGAAGAGAAGGCGAAAAAGGGGAGACCTCAGAGCCCCTTCCAGTGCCTAAAGGGGCTCCAGGAGAGCTGGGGAGGGACTCTGGATCAGGGAGGGGAGCCGTGGGACGAGGGGGAATGGTTTTACACTGAAAGAGGGGAAACTCCGATTAGACATTAGGAAGAAATTCTTTGCTGTGCGGGCGGTGATCCCCTGGGGCAGGTTGCCCCGAGAAGCTGTGGCTGCCCCATCCCTGGAGGTGTTCAAGGCCAGGTTGGACGGGGCTTGGAGCAACCTGGGCTGGGGGGAGGTGGCCCTGCCCAGGGCAGGGGGGTGGGATGAGATGGTCTTCAAGGTGCCTTCCAACCCAAACCATTCCATGATTCTATGATTTCCTGGTGGAAAGACCTCCTGCCTGCATTTGGAGTCATCCAGCCCTCCCTCAGACTGCAGTCAAAAGTATGCTACGAACGAGCCTCCAGCACAGATGTCCTGGGCTGAAGCCCGGCCGCAGGGTTCCCGTGGTTTCTTGCTAGCGTGCTTTCATCTAAACATTGCCTGAAATAAACAGAGGCTGTGTTAACTACGTTGTTGCCTAAAACAAGCTGCTTGGCTTATTAAAATAACTAAAATATGAAATTTATTAAAATACGTAAAATAAGCTGCTCGAGAGCACTTCCCGTGCACAGCCCATCTCCCAGAGGTCCTTTTACACCCATGTAGCTGTAGGAGTTTGCTGCACAACGTGGACATCTGTCCGCTCCTGTGCTCCCAGAGAGCATTTAATTTCCAGTAAGCCAGCAGAGGAAGGTGGCTGCCACCAGTCACGTTAATTTTGGTGGGGTTTGCGCCGAAATGTGTCACCCAGAAGCTTCTGGGTTGCCCAGGTCTCTCGTTGATGCAAGTGCTGCAAGAGTTTTTTTCGGCCATGGAGAAAACGTGCCTCTCGCTGGTGCTGGCTGCAGAGTGAAGGGATCTGATTTCCATACCTGGCCTTGGCCCCGCTCTTCATTCTGCTTCGGGATGGCGGGTGACTGCTCCGGGGTGAGAAGAGCACCGCGTGCGGCCAAAGGAGATGGGTGGGAGGAGTAAAAGGAGGTCAGCCTGGGCTTTCCCCTGTCCTCGAGCACAGGGTTTTCGGTGCCAGGTGACGACGTCTCTGATAAAGGCTGGCGGTCCCCCTGGCGCGGCGGCAGGGATGGTTGGGCTAGCGGCTCTCACGGCGGCGCTGCAGCAAGCACAGAGCTGTCGTCGTGGTAAAACAAAACTCCTGGGCTTTTACCGTTCGCCGCGGGAAAAGTCAGCAACTCCGTCAGGCCGCCTTGTTCAAGTTGAGCTTGAAAAAGAGCTGTTTCAAACCAGAAAAAAAAAAAAAAAAAGAAAAAAAAAAGAAAACTTCCTTCTTGATAGTTACATTGCTGACATTGCTCAGGCTTCATCCTTTGTGTCAGGACAGGTTCAAACCAAAATGATCTCCTTTGGGCGGGTCTCTGGGTTTCAGGTGTGCCTTCCTCCCCATCCACACCGCTTCTCACGGCTCTCTTGTGTCCTCAGAGCGGGAAGAAGAGGCAGCCCAGAGCTCCGAGCTGGGGCTGGGGGCAAGGTGGGCACTCCACGTGCCGGGTCACGGCAGCGGGGCTTGGGCTACCTAAAGCCAAGGGCATTGAGCCCCACGGCACGATGATGAAGCACAGACACAGTGCTTCAGGTCTGGCAGCACTGAGCCCACGCCAGCTGCTCTGCTTCGGCGACGGGATCTGCCTTTGCTTGTTTTCTGCCATTTTAGGATAATCCTTCTTTGAATTTCTGCGGGCCCTTAGGCTAGCCGGACCTTGGCGGCACGCTGGCGCTCGGTAAATCCCATCGGGCAGGGCTTCGGTGTGCCTTTCGGGACGCGTAGTGCCAAGCGCCAGCCTCTCCGCTGTGTTGTGACAGACGCCGTCGCCTGT